TGGCTTAGAAACAACAGACATTTGTTTCTCACAGTTCTGGATGCTGAAAAGTCCTCGATCAAGGCTCCAGCAGATTCGGTGTCTGGTGAGGACCCGCTTTGTGGTTCATGGACAGCTGCCTTCCTGCTGTGTGCTCACACAGCCGAAAGGGCGAGGGAGCTCGTAGGGGCTCCTTTTACGAGGGCACTCATCCCATTCCTGAGGGCCCCACCCTCAGGACCTAATCACCTTCCAGAGCCCCCCCACCCCAACATAGCACCTCAGGTGTTAGGTTTAAGCCTGCGAGTCTTGGGGAGACAAAAACATTCGGTCTGTGGCAACCTCCGTATTCTTATCATAGTTTTTGGAATTCAGATGTGATTGCAGAGAGGGAGATGGGAAAGGCCAGAGTCAATTAAACGTGTCGGGGCTGAGGTGGTCACCAGGCAAAATCACAGCTCGTGCCACTTGCTCCTCAAAAACCTCGTGAACTAGTCCAGGGCGCCAGTGTTAGCTCCACATTACAGCAGAGAAGCACACACCAGAAGAGGGCAAATGACTTATTCAAGCTCATCTATGACAAAAATCCAGAGGTGTCCCCACAAGGTCGAGTCCAGGGCTCGCTCCTTCCTCACTCTCATCCTCCTCAGCCCTGCCTCATGACTCTGGTGAATCTTCAGCCTTAAGCTTCATACCAGCCCTAGGAAATGACTGTTCTGATAACTGAGAACCAGCACAACTGGCATTTTATTTTTTTATTTTTTTAAACTGAAGTATAGTTGATTTACAGTGTTGTGTTAGTTTCTGGTGTACAGCATAGTGACTCAGTTATATATAATATCTTTCATATTCTTTTCTATTATAGGTTATTACAAGATATTGAATACAGTTCCCTGTGCTTTACCGTAGGACCTTGTTGTTTATCTATTTTACGTATAATAGTTAGTATCTGCAAATCCCAAACTCCCAATTTATCCTTCCCCCTCCTTTTCCCCCCCGATAACCATAAGTTTGTTTTCTGTGTCTGTGAGCTGGGTTTCTGTTTTGTAAATAAGTTCATTTGCGTCATTTTTTTAGGTTCCACATGTAAGTGACATCGGATGGTACTTGTCTTTCTCTGTCTGACTTACTTCACTTAGAACGATCATCTCCAGGTCCATCCACATTGGGACAATTTGCATTGTAGACACCAAAGAAGGCCTAAAACCCAGAGAGGGGAGGAATTTCAGATGAACACTGAGCCCTTTCAACCATAGGACAGGACATTGTCCCATGCCCTACTCCCAATAGCTGTAAATGCGTAATTGTGAGCTTTATTTATGCAAAATAGCTTTTGATAGAATTTCCTGATGAACCATCAATGGTGCTGCCCAGTCACCCACACCTGGGCCCGAGCTACTGAAATCACTTCAGCTCTTAAACAGGCTTTAGTGTCTGTTAGCATCTCCCCTAAGAGGCCAGATGAAGCGAAATACGAGAATGGAGAATGAGACAGATCTTAGCTACGAGCAGACATCATTTCTGTATCTCAGTCTTGAGAACATCCATGTCACAGCCAGTCCTCAGCCGAGATGGAGCTTAAGGGCGTGGACTCTGGAGCAGACTGCCTGCATTTGCGTCTGGGCTCCGCTGCTTAGGGTCTCTGTGTCTCTGGGCACGGTGCCTCATGCTTCTGCACCTCAGTTTTATCATCCATGGTATGGGGATAATAAATAATAGCACCCACTATGAAAGGTTATTGACAGGATTAAATGAGTTGTACATGTGGAACACTTAGAAGTGGGAGCAAGTATAAAATCAGTGAGATTAAATATGAATCAATATTTTCTCTTCTTGTCTGCCTGTCTTATAGCCTTCGAAGCAGTCTGAGCCACTTCGCTCACTTAAAGTGAGGCACCCAAAGTATCTTCCCTGCCTCTGTGAAGGGTCTCCAATACTTTCCTAGGAGCGGTCCACGGACAGGCAGTGTCGGCAGCATCAGGGAGCTTGCTAGAGATGCAAATTCTCAGGTCCCTCCCAGGTCTTACTTAATCAGCAGCTCAGCGTGGGCCCTCGAGTCTAGGATTTAAAATGCTCTCCAGGTAATTTTTAAAGTTGGGGAAGCATTGTCTCAGAATCCTCTCTTTACTGAGAAACTTTAAGCCAGACACCCACGTTGAGGAATCCCGCCAGTGGAGCAGCCAGGGTCATAGTACCTGCAGGGACCAAATGTCTCCATTGTTCCCTTTGGCCCGGGGACTGGTTGAAGCAGAGCATTTGCGGGGATTGTTTAGTTCCTCAACACAACCAGCTCGGTTAATTCAGAAACCAGTGATACTTTGAGAGGAGAGTCCCGGCTGGGGCAATTCCAGAGATTATGCCTTGAGCACAGTTTTCATCCTCAGTTTTTACATTATTTGACCTTTGCTCAGATTTCCACCTACCACTCCATGTTGCATTCCAAATGAGTCTGTCAACGTGAGGTTGCAGCTTTGTTATTCGGGACCTTGGAGGATGGCTTCCAGCTACTTTTTTTTTTTTTAATTTGAATCCAGTGAGGCTTATAAAGAAACTCTAAGACGTCATTCGTTGAAATGAAGAGACTGATAAGCAATAAAAATTGGTCAACAGTGTTTGCTGAGTTTTCCCCAAATTCAAGCCATTACCATAAGCAATCACTGCAGGTTTCTGAAGAGGAGCGAGGAGTAAGTGAATGGAAGTCCACCCCTGCTTCAGTCTCCCTTCCCACGCTTGTGTCTCCATCCATCTGTTTGTCTCCAGGATCTTTCCCCCTGGATGACCAACCAACACAAATATGAAACACATTTCTACAGTGCGCTTCTCTGATCTTCTACAGGGCATGTTCGTTTTTAATTAATTCTTGAGCAACAGTGAAACCATTGCTTTTCCAGTTTTCTTCTCTTGCTGAAAACTGTGAGGTGTTAGTCAACACTCAGCCTTCTGATGGATCCCAGCGTCTCTTGGGTCTGATCAAGAGTCAGTCCACCTTAGAGGCACAATCCAGGGGGAGGGTATAGCTCAAGTGGAAGCAATAAAACCTAATTACCTCCCCCCCTACCAAAAAGTAATAATAATAATTATAAATAGATAAGTAGAGGCACAGTCTGGTTCAAGTTCTCATCATGTGGTGGGTTCAGCACCCCCCTGGCTGTACCGCTGACGGGCCAGTCTGTTCTCCCCTTCATGCACATACCCCCTTTGCCACGGCTACACCTCTGAAAGACCTTTTTTCTAATTATGTCCTTCATTCCTTTGACACAGCCAGATTTAACATATGTCTATTCCGTTAAATCCACACATCTCTGCCCAGCCTCCAAGCCGTGTGCTAACTCTGCCTCCCATTTCATCCAGAGAAGGCTTCATATTCATTTTCATTCCAGAAACCCACGTGCCGTTTTCATCACTCCACTTACTTCTTCCCACCTCTGGGGCACCGCAAGCACCAACTTCCCTGTGCCGCCAACGCTGCACTTGGGCCTCCCCATGTTTCTCTTCCTCCTTTCCTGCCATTGGTCCTCATCTCCAGTGGCAGAGCTCTTACTAAACATTGCCTCCAGTCCCCGCTGTCCTTGTCTGTGCTGTTAATGCTGTAGCCACACTCCTGGGGACCTTGCTCTGCAAACATCCCCGAGCGATTTTCCTCTGTAAATTCTTGACTAGATAGTTTACTTCCGGAGGTCAGAGGCAGCAGGGAATTTTCCATTTCTTTTGTTAATGCTGCACCTGGAGCGATCAGCCGCGAGAGCTGAGGTAGACAGAATGCTTGGCACGAAGTGGGCGCACGCCACGTGGTGATCACTGACTACAAAAAGGTTTCTCGATTCCCTGAAGACGAACAGAGGAGGAAAAAGCAGTTTGGGAAGCCTCCTAACTGAAGCATATTTAGGGAGCTCTAACGAGACCCGATTAGAAACCATCTTTTCTGTTTTCACGTTTCATGTGAACAGTGAAAACTCAGGCTAACCGTGGCCTTTCGGACGGTTGCAGGCCTCTCTTCTGCTCTGAATACTGGCCTGGTTTGCAAGACGATTTCCTTTCTTGCTGGAAAACTACACAGACTTCCCCCCTTTCTTTGGAAGAAGCAGGACCAGTTGGAAATGTGAAGCTGCAGGATTCAAATGCTGTGGACTTGCTGGAGCACTCGCAGTGCGTTTCTTGACAAGTCCTGAAAAGACCATTGAATTCTGGTGCCTGAGCTTTTTTTTTTTCCCCCTGCAGTATTTGGATGCGTTTCAGCTGAAGTGTTTGGCTGGATAGGGTAATCGAAATAGATTTTTTTTTCTTCCTCAGCAATCTTGGGTACAGTTTCATCCTTTACAGTTCAAATGGAATATTTTGCTACTATGCAAATACTTTTGAGTGCAATGGAATCGTGACTCTTTCACCAGCAAACAACCTATCTTTTAACCTTACATGCAAACAGGTAGAAAATATAAACTGAGAGTGCTCTCTGGACAGAAAAAAATGGCAGGTATTTGGTGAGTTTGCTAGGGGGTACCAAGTTACGCTGAAAATCTTTTTTTTATTATTGTTATTAAATACAGGCATTTTGGAAGGACTTTTACTTAATTGGAAAAATTTTCCCCTCTTTAATTTCACATGATGAAAAACCTATCTAGTCATCTCTGCGGTGTCGGTAGCAGTGCGCGTGTGTGGTGGGCTAGGGGTTTTGATGCTCTGTTTTGATGCTCTCTGATCATCTTCAAAGGGCTGCTGGCCTTTGAATCCACTCCATAGCTAAAATTCTAGCTTTAATTATCAGATTAGCCTGCATTTTTTCCCCTCTGTTATTAAGGAAGGGAGAAGCTGAAATGTGTTTATTATTCTGCAATATACTTGAGATGGTAGGATCCCAAATGTTGCATTTTGTTCTGGAAACAAGAGCCGGTCAAATTACAGACTCCTTCAAGCCAAGGGCGGAAAGTGAATAAGTCGGGGGAACAGAGTCATTGAGCGACATGACAGACGCGGGGGTCTGTGTGGTGCTCCCCGCTAAACAGTGCTGGCATCGTGCCTTTCAGGGTCCCTGCAAGTCATGAACAAAACGAGAAAGATTATGGAGCGTGGCGGGGCCACCTTCACCAACGCCTTCGTGACGACGCCCATGTGCTGCCCCTCCCGCTCCTCCATGCTCACCGGGAAGTATGTCCACAACCACAACGTCTACACCAACAATGAGAACTGCTCGTCCCCCTCGTGGCAGGCGGTGCACGAGCCGCGGACCTTTGCTGTCTATCTTAACAGCACTGGCTACAGAACAGGTAAAGGGGGACCTTTCCAACCCGTGAGCCTCTGGGAATGCATCTCAGACACAGGAAAGTGCACTGTGTCGTGAAATACATGAATTTCCAGTAAGTCCTTCATTGGAAAGAGTCTAGGCTTTGCTCTCCCAGTATCTCCCCATCCTTTGCTTTCCAATGTACCAGTGAGCGATCCCTTAGAGAAGAGTCAGAATGACTCTCAGTGGACATGTTAGGAAAGTGTTGCCCCCATCAGAGCACCCAGCAGTTGGAATTTTCCAGGAGAACCTACAACAGAAGAGTTTTCATCCCGTTAACCTGTGATACCACCTCAACCTCCCAAATCTTGGGGCATCACCACGCAGCTTGGGGCTTGTCTTAGCTGTTGGCAAATTCTGGCTGATCACGTCTATGAGAAACCAGCAAGTGCTTTGAAACTGCTTAGCACCTACCCCAGGATCAGCGACACAATAGATTATCATAAATAACTGAATGAATAAACCAGTGAGGCGCACCTTATTAACTCATCCATTTACTTACTCGTAACTGATAGGATTTGGAGTTTCTGTAGCTTGAATGGGGGTTGCTCTTAGGTCTCACGTGTGCACCTCCATCTTCCAGGAAACGGGGGGCACCCCAGCAGTTGCAGCTGCTGTTTTTGTTTAGCCCACACAGAAGAGGGTCTGAGCTACCTGTTCTTTTGAAAGTCGGGGACCTCCTTCAAGAGAGGTCTTGGACATCATGCCAGTTTTTCTAAGAAGGAAGCAAAGCTCCTTCCTGTGAGGTTGCCCCCAGCCCAACGTTTAGATGTTCTCCTTGGGTTTTCTGAGCATTTTTTCATGAAAGAAAACAGAGATATTGTTAGAGGGGCTGTGATGAAAAAATCATTTTTTCAGAACCCCATAGACTTACTCAAAAGAATTAAGTGTCATCATGCGTGCTTGTTGAAAATGATTTTCAGGTCTAAAGAGTCTCTATTCTGAAGATTTAAACGGGGAGGATTTCAGTTTAAGGTATTCTCTCAGATCTCTTTAAAAATGAAATTAAACTTTCCCACTGGACTCAGGAAATATGTGGCCATTTGCCTCTTTGCAGAGCCCTGTGGGCACTTCATACTTGATATTTATGGATGCAAATATCGATTGTGAATGTGACAGCACTGTCATTCACACGCTCTCCACTTAGGGGAAACTCCTCCCGTGAACCTCAAGGGTGTCTGCTTATGCTTAGGGGAGAATCTAGGTTACTCAAAGTGCCTTATCCTGAGTGTGTTTTCTCATAGAAGTGATTTAAATTTATAGCAACTTTCATCTGAGAGCTCTAAAGCAATTTGCAAACCTGTCAAACATTCCTATAGGATTCCTAAACAGCAAGTGTACTTGGTTCCATTTTATAACTGAGCTGGGGATTTCAAATATTGTGTGACCAGCTCAGAAGCAAAATCAGAAATGGTCCCCTGATGCCTGGCTCCTGATTCTGACCACCAAATTGTGTTTTGTTCATAAGAAGCATTGTGTGAAGTCAGTGACTTTCAACTTGCAGGTTCCCTATAATGTAACGCCTAGTAGCAGACAGAGACAGACAGAGAGAGTTGGAACATAGTTAGAACTCTCACCGTATGCAGACCGACGTGGACGGTGTCCATCGTAGGAAATAGAGATGCGGGTGACTCGGAGAACCTGCCGGGACTTAGAGCTGTCAGTGAGGACTTGCTAATTTGTCTCAGGGCTAAATCAAGAAAAGGGAAAAAGAAGATAATAAACTCTGGAGAATTAGGGAAGAGCAAGCAATGTGGCCAGAACTGACCAAGTTCTAGCGTGTACTTGAAATTTGCTAAGAGGCTAGACTTGGATGTTCTCGCCACAGAGGAAAAAAATGGAAACTGGAGAAGGTGGGAGGTGATGGGCATGCTGATGGGCTTGGCGGTGGTCAACATCTCACAGCGTTTACGGATCACAGGCCATAAGCCGTAGCATTTTTGATTGTCAGTTAGACCTCAGTAAAGCTGGGTAGTCGGGGAGAAAGGGAGAGAAGGGGGGGTTAATATTTGATGCTTACCGACTCTGTACCAGGCACTTTAGCGACGTTTTCTCACCTAATTCTTCCTGCAACCTGGAAAGGATTTGCCCGTGTTACCAGTGAAGAAACGGAAACTCAGGAGGGTTGATTGTCCAAGGTCACAAGCTAGTCAGCGGCAGAAGGAACCCAGCACAGCTGACTCCAACGTCTTTCCTCTTTCCTGTTATCTTATTTCTTTAACATACCTTTCTGTCATGCCTCGTTCCAAAGTGCCTGATGGAGACACAGAAAACATAATAGGGTACAGAGCCATAAGGAGCCTGCCAATGGAAACCAAGAGCAGGGCTAGTTAAAATAAGGCAAAGGGTAGTATACAAGTTGCAGGCGCACCATGGAGTGGTAGAGAAAAGCTGCCTAGCTGGAGCTCAGCTTCCAAATGGCAAAAGCCAAAAAGGAACCACCATCCATTACAAAGTCCACGGGGTCACCAAGATAAAAACAAACCAGTTGCTTCTAAGAAGCGCAGTGTATTCTGGGACTTGCCCCAATTATACTGTGCTGATTCCACCCTGCAGTGGATTACAACAGCTTGAATAAAAGTCCGAGACAATTCAGTTCAGCTCCCTTATTTTCAGATGAACAAACTTAGACCCACAAGATAAAGGTGCCTTGTTGAAGTGACACATCTGATGTTCTGAGAAGAGTGGGCATCAGGACCTAGGTCTTCAGGGCTCTTTGCAGGAGGCTACCAAACCCCATGGCCCAGGTCTAGGATGAACCCGCAGACTCTCAGGCTTTCCCGGTAACAACTGTCCATCCTTCGGCGCAGCCCAGTGGGGCTGCTTTTGTCAGTTGTCTTCTTCGGGGAGAGGAGATTTGCTCCTGGAAACAAAGTCAGATTCTGAAGCCAACCTTCTTCCCAGGGGTCTAGACACTTAGGTAATAATGGAATTTATAGTGAGTCATCCTATAAAGTAAAAGGAATTCTTTCAGGGAAATGGGATTTTCCAAACACTTAGCTAGGAAGAGAAAACGGATGATACGCACTTAGGAAAATAAATTTTGATGTGCCTGTTAGTAAATCAGAAAAATTAAAAGCTAGAAGCCTAAACTGGCAGCGATAATGAGTTATACAATTAAAATTCATCTTTGATGGGAAAATATTGACATGCCTCAGACAATTAGGAAGTAAAGATGTCACTGTGACAATAATTATCGATCCAACCAGGGACAGAGACCCATTTGAAAACCCACAAATAAGCACATCAGGCTGACGGACATCTTAGGAAATTCAGAGAATTAGTGAGCAGTCATTAAACCAGCGTAATTATTTATGAGCCGCTAAACTAGTGGGAAAAAAGCCAATGTATAAAGATTTTATTGTTTTCCTAATAATGAATACATTATTTGCAGTATTTAGCTGGGATCTAAGGAAAACAATGACGGAAAGTGAACTATGTATTATACATAAATATCCACCTAGAGAAAAGCACAAAGCTGCAATCAGTTTTATGAAGAACAACTCAGAGAAGACAAATTCCTAAGAGGCTTATTTTGGGAGGCATCCAGAATACATGGATTTAAACGAACTGAATTGATCCAATATTGTATTTACCATCATATGACATGATTTTTCTTTTTCTGAACCGAGGCATATTTCTGGGGCTGGCTATAACGTAAATTTTTCTGACGTTACTCATGGAAAATATGACTCTACAGCCACTTGAGTGTTTAAGAAGGGAAACTACAGTAACGTGTCTGTTGCATTTTTACGTTTTAAGTGAAGTGAAAACAGTCTATCATAAAGAGAAGTATTCTGCCTATATGCTCAAAAATTGTCTTAGTTTAAATTTCTGTGAGGGTATATATATATAGACATGAATGTAAAACCTGGCATTCATTTTAAGGTATGAGTGATAATCCGTGTTTGAGAGTTGACATCGAATGTTAGTATAAAACCCTGAACCAAGGATAAACAACAAGGTCCTACTGTACAGCACAGGAAACTGTATTCAATACCTTGTAATAGCCTCTAATTGAAAAATAATATAAAAAGGAATATATGTACGAATGAATCACTAAGCTGTACACCAGAAATGAACACAACATTGTAAACTGACTATACTTCAATAAAAAAGAAGACAAAAAGGGGAAAACAAAAAAAGAGAGAGAGATTCCAAGTTGGAAACAAGAAAATAAATATATTAAAAACAAACAAACAAAAAAACCTGAACCAAAACAGAAGAGAACTGGAGTCATGACCTCACTCCACCTTGAACTTGTTTTGAGAACGTGCCCAGGCCAGGTTTCTAACCTATGTAAGGCAGAGATAGGACCAGATTGATTCCTCAGTTCTCTTTCCTGTCCAAAATTATACTGTCATTTTATTATAATCACTGTAATTACATTGATTCATTTAAAAATGGTAATGTTCAAAGTGTAATCATAACACAGAATATATAAAGCCACGTGTGGATTAAATTGTAGTCATACTAATTCTGCTTCCTACCACTGGGGTGGAAGGGCCAATATTTATTATTACCTGCAATAAAATGTTTCGCAAAGAATTCTTTTCGTAGCAAAACAAAGTAGACAAATTAATCAGTTTTCTAATTGGTCTTTTTGCATTACAAAATGTATGTTACTTACAGCAAGTATTCTCTAATACAGGATTTTTTTCATTGTAACCTTTTTTTATTGAAGTGTAGTGAGTTTGCAGTGTTGTGTCACTTCCTGGTGCACAGCATAATGTTTTAGTCATACATATGCTCACATGTATTCCTTTTCATATTCTTTTTCATTATAGGCTATTACAAGATTCTGTGCTCTACAGTAGAAACTTGTTTATCCATTTTATATACAGTAGCTAGTATCTGCAAATCTCAAAATCCCAATTTATCCCTTCCCACCAATATGAGATGTTTTTTAATGTCGAGTTCACTTACAGTAAAACAAACACATATTCTTATTTTTATGAATTGTGATAGTATCGATTTTTGCTGAGTACACAAACAGAGGGATGGCACGCCGTAGGATGCTGTTTACTGAGCCACAGTGTGCTTGGAACTATACCAGACGTGGGTCTTGAAGAGATATGAAGTAACACCCCTGTCTTCCCCCCTAGACTTACAACCTAGTGGGAGAAACCACTCATGCGTCCAAGGTGACAGAAGAGTAAATCATAATTTTAACTTGGTTCAAAACTATGTACATTTTAGTTACTACCAGTGAATTCCTGCGACCCCAAATCTAAGAATTACGTGGAGTAAAAGCTCAATAAGTATGTCATTTGTTACTTTAAATGAGATGCGACTTCTCTACAACGTCAGGAATCTTCTGTAGTTTCTCTTTGCCGACCTAAAAATAAATGCCTTTGCCTCAAATGGTTCAAGGAAATTTTTCTAAGTATTATGTAACAGGTAATCCTGGACAGAAGCGGCATGGCCTGAAGTCAACAATCACTATAATCAGGTCTTTCTGATCTTTCTCCCTGTCACCCAGCCCCCCTCCCACCTTCTTAAACAGCTGTGAAGGGAAGTGTTTAATGGCTCCCAGAGAAAAGAAGGACATGGAAGGAGGGGTGGATGGTGTGTGAGTGATATGTTCAGACAGTGGTTAGGTTGACTTGCCAATGCCAAAGGATAGAAAAACTTCAAACCACACGTAATATAAAGGCAATATGGGCGAGAGAAGGAAATTCACCTTAGGGAGCGGGAAAGAGATCCAGTACATCTGGAGGGAAATAATTAGAAGCCCAGATAATCAACTGCAGAGCGCTGCCAGGAAGCGTGATGTTGAAAGAGGCCAGGGGTGATTACAAATGAGCCCCGGCGTTAGGAAGCAACGAGAAAGGCTGAGTAACGCGATGCTGACAGCGCTGGGGTGCTGCCTCATGACGCACGGGGTCCTGGTCGCTCTTGGAACCAGTGTGATGGGTGAGGGCACATCTGGAATACTCCGTACATTTTTTACACCCCATTAACGCAAAGACACTGAAAACCTGGAGGGAGTTCTGAAGCAAATAACATGGACTATTAAGAGACTTGAAGGAATGGTTTATAAGGGGAGGATTACGGGAAAGGGCAATAGCCATGGCAATGGGTAGAAAACAGTGCTAAATAACGAGTGAAACAATGAGGGAAGGGCAGGAATGACTTGATGTGGCTTCCCTGGGAGGAAAAAGCCCAGAGAACACAACTCAGGAAAGAAATCCAGAAACTAATTAAGCAGGAAACGTCAGCCAGTGGGGAGAGAAGTTGTTCAGACTGGGGAAGAGAAATATGTAACCTCTCAAGAAAGGTTTTCAGACGCACAAGTGCAGAATTCAAGAGCAGGATTTCCTTGCCCTGCAGAACGATACAGTGTTTCAAATCAGAAGGCAGAGTTGAAAGGCTGTTGATAATGGTGATGCTAACCCTGATGTAAGCTCGCCAAGTACTGTTTGCAGTGATTTCCATATATTTTATTTTAATCCTCATGACAATCCTACCAGGGTTATTATTACCGTCTTCGAGGTTTCACAGAAGGGGAATTGGAGGCACAGAGAGGTTAAGTAACTCACCTCTGGATGGATAGCTAGCCAAGAACAGAACCAGAATTTGAACTCAGGCAGGCTGGCTCCAGGTTTTATATTCCAAACCACTGTGATCTTTCACTTCTTTGAAAATAGAAAAAGAGAAAAGGGGGGGGAAAACCCCTGGGGATGAGGAGCCGGCCAGGGGGAGGAGCTGGGCTGGAGGTTAGGAAGTGGAAGGCTCCAGGAACCAGTCCCGTGCTGAGGTCGTGTTGGTGGGGTGTGGCCTTAGTCTGCTGCCTGTGACTCCCAGGTCGTGTGGCCTTTTGTTGAAAAAGAAACCCATCTTGTGGTGCTGTGTGAAAAGACGGCTGGTCTCTGAAGACAAAACCCCTCACTAGAAGAATTTCTACTGCTTGCGGTCAGTTCAGAGGGAAATTCTGAGTCACATCTGACATAAGACCGTCTGACATTTTGTCCCACCCCAGCCCATCTGCTGGTGGGGGAGGGGAGGGGATCCTGGCCAAATCCTCAAGCAGTGGGTGTTTGCTAAGTGACCACTTGATTGATTCATTCGTTTGCAGATACAATATACAAACATTCATCCAACAAATAAACCGAAATTGCTGTGCTTCTCAGTCTTGAGTCAATTCTCCAGAGAAGCTCAGTCTGGTGAGGGGGATGCACTTCAGCAACTCGGACACTCTGCTCTCTGAAAATATTTAGACCAAATCAGCCTGTAAAAGATTACAACTTAAAGGAAACACAAAATTTAAAAAGTCTAGAACTTGTAGAATCCTCAGACCACTGGGGGCTCATGAACCCCAGGCCAAGATGGGGTTCAAAAGAGAAGGATTTTGTCCAGACACAAGCTATCAAACTAAACGGGATTCTGCAGACCAGGAGGGCCCATCCAAGGTTGGGAGAAGGTGAAGTGACCAGAGCTGGTCTTCAGGAAGGTGGCAGTGAGAATGGAAAGACCCTGGGTCTGGACAGGAAAGCCGGTCAGGAGACTGAGCACACGTGAGGGGTGTCGAGTCATCAGAGAAGGAGGGACGGGTTCCAGAGCGCTTACCCCTGTGGAAGCTCCAGGCCGTGGTCACCGCTCAGCAAGGGGACCCAAAGGGCAGGTAAGGCAGGGAGATTGGCACACCCGGTGCCACTCTGAGAACTGAAGGCTACCTGAGGAAAGAAGTAAATTTGGAGGGGAAAATTATTCATTCCATTCTAAATGATTGCGTTAAGGAGCAAGGAGAAACCTCCAGATGGAGATGCCCTACAGCCAGTTGTAGATCAGAGATGAGAGCAGGCTGAGGTATCCCATGAAGACACAGAAATGATGCGCATTGACTATGCTGGAGATTCAGAAATGTGTGCTTTAAGAGCAATCCCAATAAAATGCCAGGGTTTTGGGAACTGTTTTCATCATCTCAAGCCAGTCATCCAAGGACTGTCTTTCTTCATGTATATAAGTGGAGGCATCTGTAAAATCTGTTTAATGAAGCCGGAAGGCATCTGGCTGGCCACAGGATGTGGCATCTCCCTAAAACAGAAGATTGAAACCCTTTTAAAAAATCATAAAAATTAAAACTTGCATGCACGTGGGTATGTTTGTATAGTTATAGGTGTGTATAAATATATGATAAATTCACACACATGTATGTACACATATACACATACCTACATATATGCATATGAAATAAAGTTCTCCTCGTCCTTCCTACTTGAAGGAAAGGCTATGAATGTGGCTAATGGGGTGACCAGACATTTAGGTTTACCCCAAATGGTGACCGTTCTCGGGATATAATTATAGAGACCCCAAAGAGCACCCTCTTTCTCTCTCCAAATTGTGCCAACAATTTACGGCTAACCTTCTGATGGTTATTAGGTAACTGATTGGACTTCAAGATCCAACCCATTTTATTCCTGAAATCCCAACCTCCCTTACTTTCCCCTCCACCCCCCTCCTATGTCATCTTTGGTGGAGGACAGACTTGCAGTTTCTGTCTTTAAAAGGATCAGTAAGCTCTGCTGCCCAGTGGCCCTTCTTGGCTGCCCAGTGGCCCTTCTTGGATGTGACCGTGCCAAAGCTACAGATATGAAGTCCTTCCCGTGGGCTCTTCAATGAGCAGTGCAGTTTCGTGGCACATATATGTCTATTACACACCATTCTATGAAAATTAGTCATCTGAGTTGTAACTCTACGTTGTCAGAATTTTTGATTTTCAGTAATAAACGTGCATCTGTAAAATACACATAATGCAAACACCCATGACACAAAATACATGACATAAAAACCCCGACCCCTTCCCATCAAAACGTATTTTACTACAGTTCCTCAGCTGGGAAAATTTGTACTCTCCTGATAAGCAAACACAAAGATAAGCTTTTCAATAGTGTTTTTTAATAATTCACAGCTCTCAAACAGTAGGTTAGAAAACTTACTTTATCACAAAGGCTGAACTTTCAGTATTCCAAATCTCACCTTGGCTACTTCTCCCATTGTTACATCAACTTAACAAAAAGATATATTCTGCTTTTAACCCAGCAGAATCACAAAAAATCCATCCCGGTCAAACTACCCTACATATCATGATCATTATGGTGATTTTACTGAACTGTAATCCATGTACTTGGGTGCGACTTTTATTTATTCAGAAGGGAAATATGTATGTTACCTTGCCAAGTATGTATGTTACCTTTGGCATCTAGTGTGACCTGGGTTAACTTTAGTTTCATTGTCCTTTTTTCAAGTCATAATTTCATATTGATGCATTTAGTTGTGATTAATCATTTCATCTGAGAAAATAATCCTGTCTTGCCCATTGCAGCCTTTTTTGGAAAATACCTCAACGAATATAATGGCAGCTACATCCCTCCTGGGTGGCGAGAGTGGCTTGGATTAATCAAGAATTCTCGTTTCTATAATTACACTGTTTGTCGCAATGGCATCAAAGAAAAGCATGGATTTGATTATGCAAAGGTAATTTTCAGGCACTTTTACACTGCATCAATTTACTTTGCGTGTAATGGGGAAAAGCCATTTTCAGCGTGTTAGCCTGTCCGCAAGATTGGCTTTCTATGTTCTCACAGTATTAGAATGAGAAATTGTAAGGTAATTTTAAACTCGGGGCAAGAAAAATACTCTCAAAGAACACTGACTTTGAATAGTGATTTTTTTTCCCTCTTCATTAGGATGAAAGGCAATCAGTCTTTGGTGAAAAGTATTATCAAGAAAACCATAGATGTCTCCACTCTGGTGATAATTTTTGGTTTTTCCTCCCTCTCAAGGACTTGTCCACCTAATCAAATGTTCATCTTGTACTGTTTTGCTTTTCAATGGGGTGAAAGTATATTTTGTCTGTGCCTTCAGATTTAGATATAGGAGAAAGAGCAGATAAGTGCAATGATCAGAAGTTGGGAAACCGCATTCTTTGTTTTCAGGCTTGTCTGGCCAGGCTTTGATATTAACAAGGGCACCTGCCCCATGGCAGCCAGAGTCTGCAGACAAAAGTCTGCAAGGCTGTCAGTCCTAGGATTTCAAAATCAGTTCATAGAAACCAAATGGCCATGTCCCACAGTTCAATCTTAGGATTTCCAAATCAGTTGGTAGAAACTGAAATCAACAAGCCCCGTGGTTCAATCCTAGGATTTCCAAATCAGCTCATAGGAAATGAAATGGACAGGCCCCATGGTTCTCTGACAAATGGACCCTGGATTATTAGTCTTTTTAAAGTTCATGCAGGTTTTGTGATTGCCAGCTTAAAATAAAACTATTTCCAGATTGCAGGAGTGGTGGGGAAAGTATCTTTGAATTTAGCCCCTGCTAATTAGCTTAAAGTATATCCTCTTTCCTCTAGCCATATCCATCTCTTCCTTATTTACCTGAAAGAAGCCGAGAATCTGCTCTATCTAGCACAGATCACTATGAAAAGCCACTGGTAGGAATCAGAAAGGGGGGCTTGATTTAATTTGGGCACATTGCTGTCTCTATGCTTGGCCTGGTTTGAGCACAAGGCACTCGGGAGGAGATAAGGTTTAAGTCTTGTTCTTTCATACTCTTCAGAAAACAGTGAATGCAAATGAATTCACAAACATCGCTAATAGGTTTCCAAAACTCATCAAAGTTGAGAGCTGGCAGGGACCTTGGAGGCAGATTTGAGCAGTGCCCTACAAAGTGCACTAATTGTCACTGCTCTCATTTTTTCATCTGTGGGGATGCTTGTCATGCTCCTGGTTCAAGCTATTAACCTTTCTTTCCCTGTTGTCCTAAGGAGAGCAAAGTAATCAAGGTTCCCTCCAAAGACTAAATCAGCGTAACTTGCCCATTATCACAGCTGATTAAGTGTCAAAGACAACTGTGTCGAAAAGAATCCAAGTCTTTTTTTAGGGAGGAAAGGAGTGAAACAGACACTCCCATGGAAGAAGGTGATAGCCTGTGGACTTGTCCCGACAATGACATGTGACAGATTGCGTTCCTCGGGTGCTGCTTTTGCAGCTGTGCGGGTCCTTGAATCGACATGTGATTAGTCATGCCTAGAAGCCTCTGACTTTTGCGTATTGCCGGGGTGCTCTCTGAATAAACTCTAGACGGGAGCTCCAGGCCAGTGATACACACTTATAGGAAGCAGGTGTTTTAATTTAAGTTTTCATCTTTTCTTTCTTTTTTATTCCATTTCTTCCCTCCCCATTAGAGTCTTGCATCAGCCTCTCGGACTGCAGGTTAAGTCATTTTGTTGGCAAGTCAGGCTTTAATCCCAGCAGCTGGGCCATTTTAGCTGTGCAATTAACAGAGCATCATCTGCAGGAAATCAACTGCTCCCCATATTTAGCCTTTCAAATAAATTAATTGATAAAATGTGCCCGCTTTTCCCCGTGCACCCAGATTTTGACCACCACTTTCATTAGTAATCCTCACAGGTGACTTTTTAATTTAAAGAAAAGCTCTTTCCTTTTGTTTGCACATTTATGCGTCTGTGTGCGCTTATGTATTCTGCAACTGTGAATTTGTAGTGGGCGTGGGTGTTTCCTGCCCTTGAAGTAATTAAATTTTTTGGTCAACGAATTACATCAGCGAAACCTGAGAATGAAATAGGTATCCGGTGTTTCATGTACTCCAGCATTTGTATTGCCAGATCTGATCATTATCTTGGGTAAATAGGACTGGATTTTTTTTTTCCTAATTGCTAAGTTGTACATTACTTTAAAAAAAAAAAGTGCATATTACCAAGCTAGCAACCCCGGAAAGTTACTGGCCAGTGATTTTTGGATTACGGAAAAGGCTTTGCTGCTTTGGAAAGTACAGTTTCCCTTCCTCCTTAAGATCTTACCTCCCCATTCAGTGAGTTGCGCCTGAGGGAAAGCAGTATTCAGATATGATCTGATGAATGTCACCTTTTGTAATTTTTGTTTTGTGTCAAATGTATGTTTCAGGACTACTTCACAGACTTAATCACTAACGAGAGCATTAATTACTTCAAAATGTCTAAGAGAATGTATCCCCATAGGCCCGTGATGATGGTGATCAGCCACGCGGCGCCCCACGGCCCCGAGGACTCGGCCCCACAGTTTTCAAAACTGTACCCCAATGCTTCCCAACACATGTGAGTAACACCTCAGCTCTGGGACCTGCTGAACGCGGCCCCTTCCTGCGCTGTGCACCTCGCTCCTCCTTTTCACCGTTTCCTTCCCCCCTGCATCTCCACGAGGCAGGAACACCGGCTTCTCCCCAGAGACTGTGAAACCAAGGGCTTTGTGTAGGTTGCTCTGATTAGGAATCACATTTCCATCATTTGTAGGCAGCTAAATGAAAAGAAAAGAGAAGCACATTGGGGAGTGGGGGTGATTTTTATAAAGGGTTTCCTTCTGTTGTCTTAATCTGCATGAACACGATCTAATAATAATAATGGTCAAATGGTATGGTTTTGATAGCAACAGAGTGGCGACCTGGTCTGGTTTTAGAAACGGGGGTTAATTTCCCGGGGGGCGTGCTGCCGCAATTTGAGCTGCTGCAGAAGGCAGCTGGGGAGGGCTGGCCTGAGAGGCCTTTGCAGGTCAGGGCTTTAAAAATAACCTGATGTTTCTTTTTGAGAGGGAGGAGCCTGGGCGGGGAAAGGGTGGGGAGGCACGGAGGAGAGGGCTCACGGCACATGGGGGCGAGACAGGGCAGAGAGCTATCTTACCCCAGTCACTCTCACTAGCCTAGGGTGGAAAGGTCTGGATCTCAGGCAGCAAAGGACGTGCTTTTGTTTTTCACTCCATCGTTGCACTTTCTTCCCCACTGCAGTAATACACAGCCTACCATGCAGAGCAGCTGGCTCTGTGTTCGCTGAAAGTTTGACTGGCGGAGAAGTAGGGAACAGGGAATTGATGTGTTTCCTTCATCACGAAACCTGCAGAATTCATTCTTAGTCTGTGCTTAAACATCATCCCTTTCATCCACACTGATTTTCTAGCTATGATCCCAGACAGAAAAAAAATTAAAAGATTAAATACACTTCCTTATGAAAAGAGATAAGTAACTAGTTGCTGGCTACATATCCCTGGAAAACCCCCTCTATACTGATTTTTTATCTTATTATAACTAATAAACTGACGGCTGCTGGTCACTGGTGTTGAGATCCTCTCTATCCTATCAAGTGACTGAGAAAGAACGAAGGACAGGAGCTAATACTTAACGAAGCCAGGAGGGAGCATGCCTGGGAACTTGGGGGATGGGTGTGTTTTAATGCATAAAATATTGTCAGCAAATAAAGAACCTGGGAGTATGGCCTAGATGAGCCATTGTGTTTTGGAACCAACCCTATGCATGGGTATACAAGCCTCTGAAAATCAACTTGAGTGTAACCGTGCAGCTGAATTCCTGAATGAAGCCCATGAGTGGCCAGTGGCTCTCTGCCACAGATCCCTGACATGTTTAGTGACCAGCTGGTTCAGTGTGAGAAAAAAGTCTTTGCAGTCTTCTTCTGTACCCTAGGACCCACCTTTCTTTTTTCTTTTGAGTCAGAAATCACCTCATGTATCTTCCCTTGTTGCATTAGCGGAATCCCAGCCTAAGGTGACTTTCTACAACCGTAAACCTGAGTTTGAGGAGCAGAGGTTGACAAAATGAGGGGTTTTATGACTTGTTAGAAGTCAGCCTGCCTTTGAAGCTTCAGGACAAGGTCCTGAGCCTCCAGGAAAATATGCCATTAAGAGGTTCTGACACCTCAGCGGCATGCCCAGACAGCAACGCAGGGTGAGAGGAATCTGTAGAGTTCTTAGGGCCTCGGTGATAGCTTAAAAAAAAAAAAGCATCTCTGATTCCAGCAATTAAAAATTCTGTTTAGTTCCATAAATATTGGCGAGTATGACCTGTGACGTTATACAGCACAGCGGGGATGTAGGCATGAGGAAGACAATTGCTAACCCTGAAGAAGCAATGACCTAGGACAGAAGTTGGCACACGGGGGCCAAGCCCGGCTTGCCACCAGTTTTTATCAATAAAGTTTTATAGAAACAGTCACGTGCATTCATTTAGGTATTGTCTGTGGCTGCTGTCGCAATACAGCTGTGCAGCTGGGCAATTGTGGCCGAGACCTCACGGCCTGCTGTGTCTGAACCATTTACCGTGTGACCCTCTACAGAATAAGTTCATCCTGGGCCCCTGCTCTGGGCGGGGAGACAGGCAGGTGTCCAAACAGCCTCGTCAGCAGTGGGCCCAGAAGTAAGGACCAGGGCTGGGATGCCAGGGGCCGTGGGAGTCTGGAGGAAGAAGCAGGCACGTCTTTTGGAGGAACCAGCAAAACGTCAGGACCCAGGAGGCATTCAAAGTGGGTCTCAAAGGACAGGCAGAATTTCTGCAGGTGACCTGCAGAATTTGCAGTGATGATTTCAGGAAGAGACTGTGGTATTGAAAAGTGCTCACCATATAAGTGACGCCATCTGTCTTGTGACCTGGGATGTGGGGAGAGCGATGAGGGATAAAGCTAGAAGGAGAAACCCACAGAATATTGAGGATTTGCGTGAATTTATACATAACCATAAGCAGAGAGTCACTGGGGGGCACTTAGTAAAGGCAGAGTGACATCACATGTGACGCGGTCATTTTCACACGCCGTAGTTGGCGTTACTCCTTTCTAGTTCCTTCCTAGCGCGTCTGTAAAGCGGGATCTGCACGTGGCAGAGTGGAAAGTGCTCAGGGCTCGGGGGCGAGCAAGTGTTGGGTTCCTAGCTCAGCTGTCCTCACTGAGCTTACGTTCAGTTTCTTTAACCTCTCAGAACCTCCATTGTCTTGCTTGTAAAATGGGGGCAACACCAGCACCTGGACATGGTGTCATGAATAGCAGTTAAGAGCGGCCCCACCTCGGGCCAGGACACAGAAGCCACTGCCTAGATGATAATTTTCATTGATCCTTTCAGTTAAGACGAACCCTGTACGACTGCTCTTTCTGGATTTGCTCTTTCTCCAAAACTTGCCATTTCATTTGGTTCACCTTAACATGCAGGGGAAGCAGCTAGAGAAAGGACGAGCTGATACTTGTCTGTCATGAGCTGACAAGGCTCTTGACGAGCTAAGACCCGCATTGTGACAAGGCCCGCACACCTGGCTATTCAAAAACACAGACAAGAGCAGCACCCACCCGGGCCGGGTTATCTTTTCCAGGTGCAGAATGTGCTATGGGCAAGCGCCGGTCTGGAGAACATCTTTAGCCACAGAAAATGAACATCCCCGCAGTGGGCTGAGTGAGTCAGCTTCTGTCCGCGGCTAAGCCCAGGGCTTGGGTGCACCTACAATGAGGAGACATGCTGTGTCTCCCGCGAGCTTAGAAGCCTTGAATTCCGGGCATCTTTGCTGCAAAGGGCCAGACAGAGACCGTGTGCATCTCTTGTCACTGGGAGGGCCTTCCCAGGTTCACAGTTCAGTCCACAGACAAAAGGAGTGGGACAAACTGAAGACAAGCTTTGCGCTGTGGTGCTCAGGGCTCCTGAACGGCTGGCTGCCCGAGCGGGAGCGTCAGGGAGGCACTCAAGCAAAGGGATGCGAGCAGTTAAGTGCTTTGCAGAGATGTTTGGCAGGCCCTATGGAAACACAGCAAGAAGCTGTAGACTCTCCCCTGGCCGGGGGATGCAAGCCTTGTGAACGCTTTCCTTGAGGTCGCCTTCCTTGGTGGTCAAGCATTATCCGGATGCCTTTCATCCACCTGGGGTTAGAGGGGTCTGACCTGCTCAGCCTGGAGCCAGTGGATCGTGTTTCCACAGTGTTTGCTGTTCCCAACAAAGGAAGGAAGCCAGTCCAGTACCGGCTTGTTGGCTTTACAAACTGAGGCTAGAGGTTACGCCAACCAGCAAAGGATGAGAACGGATGACCAACCACTCGGGAGGGGCGGGAGGCACAGTGGCTGAGCCACTCATGGCTTCTGAGAAATCGAAGGGGCCTCCTTCATGACAACACAGATCATCATCCTTGTCACAGTGCCCTTCCCTCTGGCAGGGACCCTACTGCACTTCCCAGTAAGTCATCTCCCTGGGGTCCTCATCGTAACGCTGGATTCTCATCCTTGCCGGGCATCACTCTTCCCTGCTGGCCTGGGTGAAGTGAGAATGTACACCTGTGAGCAAAACACACACACACACACGCGCGCGCTTAAGGGAAATCGAAAATCTCAGTGGAACAATCCACATCTGCTAACTCGCAGGCATTGTTCTGAAAGTGGAGTCTTGAGATGAGCGTAGCCCGTCAAAGGGAAACCGCAGTGCAAGCCTCAGAGCGAAGTTTTGGAAACACCTTTGTTACCGAAAGTTGGAAAGAAATTTCTTGCCTTAAAAGGAATTTGCCCATTCTCACTTCGTTGCTTCCACAAATGCATAAAAGGAAATGCTTTCAGAGATGAGAGGATTTTAAATTCTTCATAAACATCTCTGACTTGGGCAGAATTAATCGCTCCCTTTCCTGCATTTCCACGTTGTTCTTCTGTCTGTCGTTTACTGCACAGCCCATTGCACCAGCTGTTTGCCCAGATCTCTGAAGTCAAAATGCACAACTCTAGGGGGCAGTGTTCACACTGAAGACCACGTCAGTGGTGCCCTGCTGGTATGCAAAGTGGCACTTTCCTGAAGGCAGGACGTGGTGTTGCATCCTTACCTCCTTGTGTTTGGTGAGCATGGCTCCCGCGGCCTTGGTCCTACAGTCCATTTTTGTTCAGCAAATGAATAAATATGTTCCTCCACCAACTGGGTGACATAAAACCTCTTTTAAAATAGTACGAAAAATAGTTGAACAATCGATTTTATGAATAAAAAGGGCACCTCGAGATAGTATAATTCCATAAATTTTTAGATTAAAAAATGAATATCCAAAGTTTATGTAAAAAAAAAAAGGCCCAGTGGCTTTGCCCAGATCACCTAAGTATAGAGTCCTGGACCCAGGTGATCCTCCAACCACCCCAGTACTGCTCAGTACCCATCACAGTCACAATTAACAGTGCATGTCTTCCCTGTGAATGTATTTGCACAATTCTCACTGGCGTTTGCAGCATCATTGGAAGACTCTTTAAATTAGTTTTCTGATACACTTTTTTATTTTTAAGTGTTATGATAAACCTATAATCAAGAGCATTTGGTA